CGCTTCCAGCGGAGGGAATGCGGACACCGGGAGCTCCCCGCGGCGGGGAGGGGGCGGATGGGGTCCCGCAGGCCGTGTGTCCTGCCGGCTTTGAGCCTGCGATTTCAGGTGCAGGAGGTCCTCTTTGGAACAGGGGCTTTGTCCCCCGCTCCCTCTCCATCAGCTTCCTCCCCACCTCCTCGCTGCATCGGGGAGCAGCAGAAAGAGCGTGGTCGGGCTTGTGTTCCCCAGGATTTCCCTTTGAATCCCACTCCCAGAGGGGCCGGGACACCGCCTCGCATCGATAATGGCTGTCCTGAGATGTTTGTCTTTGAAACGGACCTGTTTCCTTTGTGTCTAGCACGTATGTTTGTTCACAGAGAAACCCACCCAAACCCTCAAGCTGTGAATTCTGCTGTCGAATTTTTTATTTTTGTTGCTTTTTCTTCTCCTCGGGGCGTGGTTTTAGTACTGGGGAAGCTTCGGCTGAAGCAATGTGTCCGGCTTTGCGGGTGATACTCAAAACAACGATGTGAATGAGCATTTTAAGGAGGGTAGAAATACCGGCACAGTTATACCAGCCTGTATTTTCACACTGTACATAGTCCCTTTGCATCTCTATTGACTTATTTTTAATACAGGTTACAGAAAGACAAAATCAGCTCTTCCTAAAAATCGTTGCAGACACCTGCTCCCCCACTCCCCGGGCCTTGCACCTGCAGAAAGGAGGAAATAAAATCTCTATGCACTCTGCAGGATTTCAGCTTTTGAGGCATCCATGACAGACGTCAGGGTGTTTCACTTAATTTTCTATTGATCAGGATTCCCATCTGCCCTGGTTCTGCTTTTAAGTCAGGAGATCTATGCTGTAATTTTTAAGAGCAATTACCCAGATTTATATATTGACACACTCATATACTTTATAGAAGCATTTGATATTTTGGAAACTAGTATTTATGCTTCAGTTCCAGATGCATGTATTTGGAAGTCAGATATAGATATAGATGTAAATATATTAGACATATAGATATATAATTCTATAGATTATATTTGATAATATCTATTAGATAATAGATATTATCTAATATCTAATTATCTGATTATCTATGAGAATTTTCAGGGGTTACGTAATTTTGACTGTTAATTATTAGCAAAGCCATGGCTTTTCATTACCATTTTTTTTACTTCTGAGTTTACAAAAATATAATTCTTGTTACTTGCATTTCTACTGCAGGAAACAAACTCAAGAGGATGAAGCCCAATAAAGGAAAGACTTTAACTAGAGAGAGAGACTATGTGTACAAATTCAGTGCTGGAAATGAACATTTGGTGCTTACAGTGCCTCTCAAATTCCCTGTGCAAGAGAATATCAGTCATTTACATGGACGTCTGATGGTTCTGCACAACCTGCCATGCTTTATAGAAAATGGTATGAATTGATTTCTTAAATTGATCTCATGTTTCCTTGTCCACAAGTGTCTTACAGCTTGCTTTAACAAAACAAAACACCAGAACAGTGTTTACAAAATTGGTTTTTAAACAGCAAAACATCAGAGAAAATTACTGTCAGTGCTAGCAAGTGCTATCAAGGAAAAGGTGAAAAATTTTACTTACAGGTTTCCTGGGTGATTACTGATGTGTTCTGTTGATGGCCCATTTTCTTCTTGTTGTAATAGACCTGAAGGAATCTCTCAGTAAATTTGTAGAAGAGGAAACTATAAAAGATTATGACAGAGAAGCTGAAGTGGCTCTGGAAGCAGTGAAATCGGGAAAAGTAGACATCAATCAGCTGGCAGAAACTTGGGCTAAAGCTTATAAAGAGGTAAGATTAAGGCTGGAAACTTAATATTCAAGGCTTGCTTTGTGAGAATATGTGTGTGTGTGCAATCACAGTTGTGAGGATGAAATATAACACTAAAATTCACTGCAATTCTTGCAGTTTTTTTCTTTTTATCTGAAAGTAAGCATTGAGTCTTCATCCTCCAAGTTCTTAGGTTTTTCTTGAGTTTAATAGAGTAAGATAGAAAAGGGAAAGGCAAACAGTTTGTTCATTTAATAGTTGATACTCAAACAAAAAATAGGCATAAGGCTTGTAGTGGCTTAGAATTAAAGCAAGAGGTGATGAATCCTATCCTAATCCTATCCTAAATATCAGAAACAGCAATTAAGGCTGGAAGGAGAAAGTGTACAGTTGAGAGAGACTTTTCAGTTCATTTTTTGAGTTCATATGACTATTTCCCATTATTTAGGAAAGATAAGTCTTTAGTTGGAATATGGTCTCCAATTTCACATGGGATCTTAAAAATAGTGGAGTGCAAAAGAGCTGGAGGAGTCCTAGTAAAGAGAAAAAAAGAATGACAAACCTGCAGTATTTGAGGAAAAGTTTATAGGAATGAATTTGCTTCTCATGAAATACAGAAAAATGTGAAAAATTCCATAAAAAGCTTTCAAAACTGGTGTTCTTGGGCCATTCTTTGTTCAATAAAAATAGCTTTTCTTAAATCAGTGTTGTTGATCAAATTCTTAGTGATGTCAGAGGTTAGTCATCCTTACTAGCAAAGCATTTTTGTTTGCACAGCTGATGTTTTGGGCCTTATCTAAAATTCATCAGATGCAAATATTATTGTGGATATTGCTGTTCTTTCCAAGCTGGTGTTGTGTGAAAATTGGTAATTCCTCATTGTAGTCCAAGCCTTAATGATTCTGACTTTAGTTGCTTTGAAAGAGGAAGAATGGGAAAGGAGAAAATTGAAAGCTAAAGCAGAATGCAGAAAGCTTAAATGAGGGAAGATGCTTTATGTATGGTAAAGGCTGTGTGTGGACCCCATGGTTTTACCCCACCATTATGTCCTAAGAGCTATCTTATCCTTTAAAATCTCCTACATTTTCTTTAGACAACGTTAGAACATGCCAAGCCTGAAGAAACCAGCTGGGATGAAGATTTTGCAGATGTCTATCATGATCTGATCCATTCTCCAGCTTCTGAAATGCTGTTAAACCTGGAACACAATTATTTTGTTAGCATCTCAGAATTAATAAGTGAAAGGGACGTGGAACTGAAAAAACTACGTGAAAGGTATAACTTTCTCTTATTACTTAGGTTTTCTTCTCTCTTATTAAATAGGGATGCCTGCCACTGGGTGTGTAAACTCATAGAACAATGTGTGTAGCTTGTATTTGTCTGTGTAAACCCAAAGTCATGCAACACTTGGCTGGCACAAGAGTATGTAGAGATTCAGCAAGGGGGAATGGCTTGAAGTGGAAATTTAGATTGGATATTAGGAAAAAATGCTATACTCAGGGTGTGGTGAGGCCCTGGCACAGGTTGCCTGGCCACAGGTGGCTGCCTCATCCCTAGAAGTGTCCAAGGCCAGTTTGGATGGGGCTCTGAGCAATCTGGTCTGGTGGAAGGTGTCCTGGCCCATGGCAGGGAATTCTCATGGGTTGGAATGAAATGAACATTCATGTCCTCTTCAGCCCAAACAATTCTGTAATTCCATGATGTCATTAGGGTCACCTACCTTATATTACTTTGGTGGCCTTCTATTATTTTCAGTGACTGAGGAGAATATAAGTTTTAATTTTCAGGAAGTGTTGAGTTTGAGTCCCAAGTTCTGGAATAAGCTTGCATAGCTGCAGGTGGCTCCTTAATCCACAAGAGGGAACACGTTGAATGTGGATTTTTCTTTCTGTGTCAGAGTAATTTCAGTAGCCTTGGTTTAGCATTCTGAATGGCAATATTCCTCTTGAGCTGTGTGTGTTTAAGCTTAAGTTAGACAGTGCCTAATCAGTTCATACTATGGTTTCTTCTGGACTGAATTGTACATATTTCAAGTTTGGGGGTCAGTGTTGCCAGTAAGGTGTTAGCAAATCTTTTTGCTGCTCATTTCCTGTTCTCAAGCATGAATAAAGAAGAAAGAGCAGTATTGTTGTAGAGCTCAGGTGTGATGTAGTTGTGTATAGACTCTGCTGGAATTTATATCTCATCACATTTATCTATTTATCACATCCCTATGTTGGTGGCAGTTGAGATTGTCCCAAATAAGGGTAAGTGGTGTTCTGGTTAAACACAGGACCTGACTTGAATCCCTGACTTTTACCTTCAGTTTGTTTGGTGGATTTTTGTTGCTAAATCTGTGACTGTTCATTCTGTCAGTAGCAAACAACTAAGTTTGTTGTTGTATCACAGCAAAGGGTGTTCTGCTACCAGTCTTCTGAAATCTGTGTTTTCTTCTCTTTCAGGCAAGGAGCTGAAATGGATAAGGTGATGCAGGAGCTTGGGAAGTCACTGACTGACCAGGATGTGAATTCCTTAGCAGCTCAGCATTTTGAGTCCCAGCAGGTAAATAAAATATGTCATGTATATGCACATCACCTTATAAAGACCACCCACACCACTCAAATTATCACTCCTCTCCTGTTAGGATTTGGAGAACAAATGGACCAATGAATTAAAACAGACTACTGCTATCCAGAAGCAGGAATATCAGGAGTGGGTGATAAAGCTTCATCAGGACCTAAAGAATCCCAACAACAGCTCAGTCAGGTATTTAATTCCTCTGTGATGCTTAATTCTATCTGAAATAGTTCAAAGCATTTGAATTTACATAATCTTTTAAATATGATACTTTAGTCCTATTTATTATGATAATGTCTATAAATAATTTACACTGGATAATCAAAGCATATCAAAGGCAAATAGACCATCATAAATAAGTATGTATAATTTTAGGAGTTTCTTCATTGTGTGATGTTACAACCTCTGTGTACCAGAAAGTGTCGTAATGCACTGAAGTACAGCTTGACATGAGTGGAATTTCCTCCTATTTTTCCTTTCTTTCCTATGTCTGTCTTTAACACTGTTTCACAAGGTTTTCTATTTCTGTTACCACCTAAGTATGTTCTGGAGAATAATGGTACTCTAAAAAATGGTAACAATGGTTTGAATTAACAAGCCTCTTTTCTTTTTCTATGTGTATATCACCGGATGGCTAAAAAATTGAATTTTTTTAAGTGTGAATGCTTGTGGAGAAAGTTGAATGAGAAGCTTTCCTCTGTTTGAAGAAATGGCAGGGAAATTAGAATTTGTAAATTGGTTTGGATCCTTATTCTTTATCACTAGTACATTGCTACTTGGCAGTTGAAATCAGTAGAATTGCTTGCAAGTTTATAAGATTTTTGGAGGTGAGGTACTTTGAAAACAGGTAAACTTCTCACTAATGCTGAAACAATTTGGAGAAATGCTGATGTTCTTTCATGTATTAGGAACAGTATTTGTTGTATCAACCAGACAGCTGAATTTAGGGAAGAAAAATAAAACTGATACCTGAAATGTTTCCTAGTAGTTTGAACACTGGAACATTTGATAAGATGGTTTTTAATCTCCCATTTTGTGTGGGAAGAAGAAAATAAATGCATATCTAATAACTTCATAAATAAGGTTTCAGATGCTGTAAAAAGGCTGAGGAGAATTATTTTTGTTTTCTTTTTATTCTTACATTTTTACTATGTTATAACTAGGTGTTGTGACTTGTTTTTATTCCTCAGTCTTGGAATGCTTTACAAATGGGCCAAGTAATGTAAATCTAACAGTGGAGTTTCCTCTTCCTGCTGCCAGGAAGGTGAAACCTCACAAGTGGAGCTCGTGCTCATAGGTTTGGTCTCCTGGTTTCCACAGATCAGCTGAGAAAGCTTGGGATAACTTTCCCAAAGTTGTTGGTCTTGAATAAAAGTTAGGATTAACTTTTTGGCACTTTTCTATTATTTCAGTGATGAAATTAAAGTTCAGCCCAGCCAGCTGAGGGAATCTGTGGAAGGAAATGGAAGAATCTATGAAGAACAAAGGCTATTAGAAGAAAGCTTTACTATTCACTTAGGTAAGTGGAGTATTCCAAATAACAGCTGATAATAAGTAATGTATCCAAGGCATGTATTATTTACAGTATTTAACTCTCAGTGGGTATAATCCATAGTTTGGAATTGTTTTGTGTTTGTTCTTTACATGTGTAAGAGAACAGCATAAACATATCAAGCAATATCTGAAGTAGGTGGAAATCTTAATGGTAGCCATTCTAGAAGCAAATTTCTATCCATTTTGGTTGGGTGGCTCATGTGAAAAAACACAGCAACAGCAAAACATGTTGCCTAAAAATGATGCTTCAACTTTCCTTACGTTTGGTAGAAAAATGTGTTTATGAAATTTTCTTCATTGATCAGTTGAAAGCAGAATGGATACTTGCAATTTGTATTTTTTGTTTGTGCAGTAGAGTCTTCTTGTGCTGTTTTGACCGTGTTATGTTTTACAGGAGTGGTTTAGGTTACTTAAAAAATTACCAGCAAAGGCATTAGCCAAAGCAGGTTTGATACAAATTTGCAAAAGAGCAGAAAAATTCAAAGGCAGTGTTCACTCTAGGTAGATAAAACACAGAGGAAAATTGGATTTTAACCAAATCTGAAATGATTTAGGCAGAGATGAGCAGGCAGCAACAATCCTCCCCGTATCACAAGCTTGGGAGTTTGCAAGCTCTGAGAGGCATCTCTGTCAGAGGGAGATGCTGGTGCAGCCTGCTGTGGCACAGGAAAGCTCCAAGGACATCCCTTAGGACCACTGTCCATAGGGTCATTAGATGGTTGCCTTGAGTCATTTGGAAAATGTTCATCCTCAGATTGAACTGGAGTTTCCAAAACTCCAAAACCATCGGGCCATGGGTCGGGTAGGGGATGTTTCCAGGCTGTCAGGATCTGACTGATAATCCCTTCCCCTCCATGCAGCTCCCACTTCAGCCATGCAGCAGTTCCTGGGATGGCCAAGGGATTCCTCAGTATTCCTCAGATTCCTCAGCTCATTGCACAAATGCTAAGGCCTAGCAGGAGTTCCTGAGCTTGTGGAGTGGTTCTGGGGAGGGTGGGGAAGGATACATCACCACACATCAGTATTTCATCCCTAGCCCTGCAATATTCCTCAGGAAGAATTTCTTCACAGAAAGGGTTGGAAGGGTACCTTCTCAGGGAGGTTTGGAGTCCCCATCCCTGGAGAGGTCCAAGGAATGCTCTGGACTGGTGACAAGGTGGGGATTTGGGACAGGTTGGACTTGATTTTGGAAGTCTTTTCCAGCATTAATAATTCTGTGATTCTGCAGTGGGAACAAGACTCATTTCAGGCATGGACAAGCATCACTTTGTGAAAACACCGCGTTTTTATTGCTACTTTTCAAATTGCTGACGTGTCTGTAAAACTGAACGTGTGGCTAGGTGTTACCGCTGAAGATCAATAGATCACGCGGACACAGGTCGAGGTGTGGTGCAAGAAAGAGCAGAGTTTATTTTTCTTCTCAGGATTTATAGGCTTGTGACCACAGCCAGAGATTGGATGGTCAGGATAACACTTTCCCACTGCACTGGCCATGAGAGATGCCCATCACAAGACGTGTATCAGAAAGAATGTACACATATCTGTGTTTACAGTTACTGTCCTGGGAAAGTCTTTAGAAAACTGTGTTAGCAAGCTCAGAAGCTGAGTTTTCAGGGCGACAGCTAGGAACTTCCTCTGGGTGTTACACCCTTACAGACCTTTAGGGAAGCATTTTGTGCCCTTACATTTCAATCCCAGTCCTGAGTTTAGTCTTCCACTGGGATTAAGCCACGTGTGCTCTGTGCAGGAGCTCAGCTGAAGACCATGCACAACCTGAGGCTGCTGAGAGCTGATATGTTGGATTTCTGCAAACACAAGCGCAATCACCGCAGTGGGGTGAAGCTGCATAGGCTTCAGACTGCAATGTCCCTCTACTCAACTTCACTCTGTGGCCTGGTGTTACTGGTGGATAACAGGATCAGCTCATACAGCGGAATCAAAAGAGGTGAGCCTTCTAATGGGAGGTATCATGTCAGGGAAAATGAATAAAATAATAAATTAGAATAAAATCTTGCTGTTTCTCTCACAAAAAAAAATATTATTTGTCCAATTAAAATTCAGTGGAGACACTCATGCTTTGGATATAGTATTGCAAAAGGGTAACTTGCAAAAATATATATCAATGAGGATGGAGGATAGTGTTGTGCTGTTATCTGTCATCTCTTCCCTACATTTTGTGTCTGAGTAGCAAACAATATTGAAGAGGACCCCTCAATATTCATTTTGACAAATTTATTATAGGAGTTTCTAACTCTTTAATACCAGATTATCACACTGAAACCTATACCTATTTGCAAAAATGAAAAATAAATATGTCTAGATTTTAAAGTGATAGTAAATATATAAAAATACCGTGTGCTTTTGATACTCTGAATTCCATTAAAAATAAGCAATAGGAATATGACTTCCCTACTCCTGGAAAGTTTGATCAATTGCCATTTTAAGTGCACGTCTTTTGAGTAAGCGGGCACTGTGATGGTGTTTTCTATCAAGGTTAACCAATGAAAATCCTGTTTATTCCTGTTTGACTTTCCCACCTCCATCTTGAAGTTTAATATCAAAATACTCACACTTGCAATGTTGTGGTTTTTTTTGACTATTACTTGTCATTATTCTTGCATGCCATAAAAAAAAATGTACTGTGGTTGGTTGATAATTCCTGGAAACAGTTGGAATCAGGCTTGTAGCAAGGAGAGGGAAATGTACCGGGAAAAACTGCAGTTGAATTTGTGCTGTTGATGGTTTCCAAGATGTTTAATTGTAATAGTATTATTCTGTACTTGTCTTGCAGGTACTTTTTCAACTGTTCAAATATTTAAATGAATAACAAAAGGAGAAGATCTGGTTTTATGCTAAATTTTATGTGATGAGAGAAGGCAGACATTTAAATAATGCTGTTAAACACAAAATTGCATCTTCTAGCCACCAACTAGATCCTGCAGCCACAGTAGAGGGGAAAGTATGGGATCATGTCACAGTCTGTCAAATATAATCCTCAAGAAAATAAAATAAGTTTTGGAAGAGGAGTTCCATAGGGCTTTATCTGCTTTTGGAGAGTTTGCCTTTATAGCTGGATTTACTTGATCAGTAGAGTAGAATTACATAATGTTACTGAACACAACCTCAGGACATGCATTTCAGTCTTATTTTTTTCCTAGATTTCGCAACCGTTTGCCAAGAATGCACGGATTTCCATTTTCCTGGAATCCAAGAACAACTTGAAATTGTCCAGAAGGTTGTACTTAAGGCCAGAGCACAGCGTAGCAGCAAGACAAAAAGACACCATGGTCAGTGACAACCAAAATTACCTTCCTTGAAATAGAACAGTGGTCAGCTGGATGTTTGTGGGCAGGGCAGGGTTGATGCCACTCTTCTGCAGTTATTTCATCTGTTAAATGGAATGTTTGCATTCATCAAGAAACTCTGCCTGAAATTCACAGAGAGAATGTGATGTTTGGGTGCTGTCTTTGCTGCTCCTTTAAAAGGAATCAACATATAAAAATCACATTTTAACAGCGTGGGAAGTACATCAGGTCATTCTGCTTTCCTAAACTGCCTGTAGCAGCACAAACTTTATCTGTCTTTAACTTTTTATTGCCATTTACATTTAAATCTTTAACAATTGCAGAAAAGGAGTTTATGACTTTTCCCCCTTCCTTTAAATTGAATTCTGGAAACCAAATAGAAAATTGCCTAAATGTGTATTTAGCTTTTTAGTGCTGACCAAAGCTTTGGGAATGGTTTTCCTTGCAGTTGTGTTTGCAAATGGCTGGGCAATGCTCTGACCACATAGAGTTTAGGCAGTGCAGTTGTACATCTTGAAACTTTGTTTTCCCTGCAAAGAGCTACTTATGTCATTTAAATGCATGAAATGTATTTGAATTGAATGAAATCAACAAATATGAGTACCCAGAAAAACAAGTTCTTGCATATTGCTACATCTCAAGGGAAATGGTGAAAGCTGGTTTTATGCTGCTGATTTATGTAAATCTCTTTGGAACAAATTCATTTTAATTTATTACATTATTTAAAAAGTAAGAGCAAGATACTGTGTGGTTGTGGGGGCAATTTTCAAAGTTTCATTTTATGTCTGAGAATATTGTGCTTGTTTTTGTCCAAATTAAGAAATAGCAGAGAATGGTATGTGAGAAGGACAGTAATTTGAGGCAGGATTCAGTTTGGGGTGTGTTGAAGACAGCAAAAACACTTCTACCCATCCCCCTTGCATTTTGGGGATTTTATGGTAAGTTCAGTGTCAAAATTCAAGCCAAATATCAGTACATGAACCTTTTCATGCCCAAGTGTAATTAATAGAGGATATGATTAATACTTGTTCCTTGTGTTGATATACAGAAAACAAAATCAGTGGGAACGAAGATAAATTAAAGAATATCGAACGAAACCAGTCAAACATTTTGCCAGGTGAGTTGTGTGGCATTGACCCCCTCTTCCTGAAGCAAACTGTGTTTCATACATCCACATTTTTAGCTCTAAAGTCAGAATATAAATTATAAACTGAACCCAAGCTGACCTCAATCAGAGGAGAAGGATGTTCCTGTGGCTGAGGCAGAGAACTGGGTGTCAGGACATCTGGTTTCTATTCCCAGCTTTGCCACTCCATCATATGGCATGGGGCAAATCACTTCTCTTTGCCTAAAATTTCCTTTTGGAATTTGAGGGTTAAAAAAAAAATCTCCGATCATCTTGGGGAAAAGGTGAAACTACAATACTAGCAGCTAATTTTATTTTTGAAAATGGCTCTATGTATATCACTGCTGTGATACAGAAAAGCATTTTTGGGTGGATTTTTTAGCTTTGAGAAGTCCCTCTCTCAGGGAAAGTATCTTCTATGTACATTGTGATGTTTAGTAAGGAAAGCTGCTGTGAAATTTGAAGATTAATATGCAGTTGGAGGGGGGAGGAATTAAGTCCATACAACCCATGGTTGAGCGAGAGCTTATTAAAATTGATTTCATGACTGTCTTAAATATTGTTAGTGGGAGTGGATTAGAAATCAACTTGGACCAGATAAATCCAGGTGTGTCTTGCAGCAGTGGCCTGTCTGTTACTGCTCGTAGATGGTCACTGCTGGGGATTCCTGCCTCCCTGGCAGTCATCCAGAAGGAGTACAGATCCATTCTGCAGCTGTTCCAGTTCAAAGAAAGGATCATAACTTCAGTGGCCAGTGGGAATAGGTGTGAAAGAATGTGTTGACTGAAATTTATTTGTTGACTGAAACAGTAGGGTCATTGCACACCTGCTCTTCCCTTGACTGTAGACTTTAGATCTCCAGTGCAAAGGAATGATAGAAAGACCTGGATTTCACTGCCTCTCATGTTTGCTAAATGAATACCAAGTCTAAAAAGACACCCAACAAGATGTCTAGGTTACTTTTTTCAAGCAACTCTGTAACTCACCTTCTCAGTACTCTGAATTATTTTAAATTCTAATGGTCACTGATCCCTTTGTGTTCCAGTGCCATATCTCAGTTGTTACATAACCCACTATCTTTTTCCACAGGCTCTGTGCATCCTTTATTTGAACCCATCCTTTTTTTGGCCTTTCCGCCTCCCACATCTGTCTGCAATTCTGTGCTTGCATTGTGTATTTTGAGTATTGTACCTCCTCTGGGTTTGTTTTTCTGTTTCGTGCTATATAGAGATCATATCCTGTACTGGCACTGTTATGTTTATTACACACATGTGGCCATGATGCCAGTGGAACCCATCAAAGAGTGGAGAGATGGAGTGTGGGATGGATGTAAAACAGTGACAGTCCAAGAGACTTTAGATCTCCTGTGTTTGTCCTCATCTCTGCTCTCCTCATCTCTGTATATTTGTATTTGCCTTTTGTCTTTCTTACATTGCCAAACAATTGGATTTCAGTGCAGATCACTACCATGATTTCTTGCCTTCCTCGTTTGCCTTATTGTGCAGGAGAGTTCTACATCACACGGCACTCAAACCTCTCAGAAATCCACGTTGCCTTTCACCTGTGCGTGGATGACAACGTCAGGTCTGTGAACGTGACCGCTCGGGACCCGGCCATCATGGGGCTCAGGAACATCCTCAAGGTCTGCTGCACACACGACATCACCACCATCAGCATTCCCCTCCTGCTGGTGCATGAAATGTCAGAAGTAAGTAAATGGAAACATTTAGGCTGGTTTTATATCCTTGGATTTTTTGCAAAGGATGTGTTTCATGCTGATTAAGGCCAAATGGGATGGTTTTGCTTACTCACAGTCTTCTGCCATACCACATGGCACTTGTATCTACATAGTGACCCAAATTAAGGAGCTGGACCAATTAAAAACATCTCAGCCAGCTGAATCACTTGAAGTTTTTACTCCCACCCCTCCTTTTGGACAATTCCTGGATCCAGCTCACTGCAGTTGTACAAGTATTAATAAAAGATGGGACTACGCAGCTGGAAGCTCTTGCTTAGAAACTCTGCCTTCAGAGTTGCTGATGCAGTAGTGATACCTGATCCCCACTTTTAATTATCATTAGCTGTAAAACATTAAGTTTTGGGAGCAACAGCACTGGCAAAGCTTGGCTTAGAGTTCTGTAAATCTAAGCGTCACCTTTACCTTCTGTAAATCTCCTACCACTTCAGCCCTACACAGGAGCAACCAAATTTCACCTTCACTTTGAACTGTCTCCTCCTTCACTGCCTAATTTCTGTCCGTTTCCTCTCTTAAGTCCCCTCAAATACAGGCTGGGCAAGAGGCAGCATATTGCTGATGCTCTTTGTGTTCTTCCTTAGTGTGCTGAGTTTTGTATTTACTTCTGTAGTGGGACTCTGATGTAGGGCTTGTCTCTCAGTCAGCTGTAACATTTCTCAGTGCACAGAAATTTAAAACAATTGGCAGCCTCTTTTCTCTGTCACACCTGGTTCACAGAGAAGGGGTGGGAAGGCACGAAAAGAAGCAATGGGCAGGGAGTACAGCCATATGCCTCATATCCTGAAGAGCTGGAAGGTCTGTAAACCTAAAGAAATGAGAAAAAGAAGATAATTCTGTCATTCATGCAAGGATATCAGTAATAATTACAGTCTGTTTGAGGTTTTCTGTTTTTAAATAACCCTTTGATTTTTCACTTGTAAATTCAATATTGCCTTTCCTTCATGGAAAGTGGCTGACTCACAGCAAGATAAATGCTCACCAGTGGATTACCTTTAACAGTGACTGGTTTTATAACAGAATTTGACTGGAACACAGAGTAGAAGTGATCCTTTTTTGCAGGATCAGGGTCTATTATCATGAAAAGCAAGCAATTATAAAGGTAAAAACACCCAATAATGAAGCCTCTAAATGATGTATTTCCATACATAAAAGCAGACTTTTAGGAACAGATGAGATTATTTCTCAAATTTTTCATCTCTTGTACTGGGACCTCTTTTTGAGTAATGCAAGTACAACTGCAAGTAACCAACATGCAGGACAGCAGCCTGGGTCACTCCTGGGACCCAGTTACTGTGTTCCAGAAACTTATTGAATATATTGACCTTTTTCTTAATCAGGGTGCCACCTAATTGTATTCTTCTGGTTCTTGTTTCCTTTAAACCTGGTTAGTTTTAGCTTCTTTTTGCATATCTGTTTACTACAAATAAAGCACACGACCAGGTGTTCAGCATGCCTTGAGATGTATGAAACTGAAGAATTATCTTCTTGTCTAGTGCTGGATTCTTAAAAAGTCCTGGTAGAACAATTTACCTTTTGCATTAAGCTGCAAGTCTTTGCAGAATAAGCAGAAGGTGAGCCGGATGGTAGGTGTGTGTTTAGGCACAGCTGCTTTGTGTGACTTGCATTAGCAGCTTGCTTATTACAGTGCTTGGCAGCTGGCTGACCTGATTTGAAAGACACAAATCTGTAACTCCTTGTTGAGGGAGAAGTGAATAATGACAGATTTCTGAAAGTTACCCTGAACTCTGTGCCTTTGGCAGCCGCAGTTCTGACTCTGCATTTACCACCTACAGAAGAACATTTTTGTGAGGTGGTTAACCAGAAGCCCAGCTGCAGAGATGTTTCCATGCTTCCTGAGACAGGCATTCATTAGCAGTGTTCTCTGTGCTTTTCCCAAAGGTTTTCTCCTAATGCAGATGGAAGAGTGTTTATAACCTCACAAAAGTAATCACAGTATTACAGACTGCTTTGGGTTGGAAGGGACACATAAAGCTCATCCTGTCCCATCACCTGCCATGGGCAGGGACACCTTCCACTATCCCAGGTTGCTCAGAGCCCCATCCAGCCTTTCATGGAATATTTCCAAGGATGGAGCAGCCAGAGCTTCTCTGGGCAACCTGGGCCAGGGCCTCACCACCCTCACAGGGAACAATTTCTTCCTTACATCCAATCTAAACCCACTCTTTGTCAGTTTGACTGTATTGATATCAATGAAGACATTAGATTGCATTATTATTTCTATGATGAGAAAACAAGAATTCTGTTTTCCTTTGTTTTATATGGCAAGAACAACCAAAACAGATTTCTCTGGTCTGATCATTAAGTTAAATGAAGCAAAGAAACTGGGTTTGATACCTGAGAAGGGCAAAAGCAGACAAGTTTGATTTCAGGAAAAGTGGGGTGTTACTGTGTGATCTCTGGAATCTGCTGTAAACTGGGGAATGAAATGGCTCTAACAGCATGGCATTGCTAAAAATGCCAGAGCTGGCACTCTCCCTTGGTAGTTTCAACGTTGTTGTCCACACAGCAACAGTGACAAAAATGTGAATCTTCAGTGATCTCAGTCCAGTTATTTCTATTACCATAACTTAAGAAAAAAATTGTTTTTATAAAAAATAGAGATGAAAAGAGTGTAAGCTGTGTAACAAATATTTATGAACATATTTTATGTCCATAGAGAGGTTACTGATGGGTGTATTGACCTCAAATGTTTCTCATATGGGTTTCCTGCCTTTAAATTTTTATCTGCTCATCCAGTGTTTAGGATTTGCACAGATGCACTGTGAGTTAAAGACCTTGCTAATTCTTACTGAAATTATCCATTGAAATTTGGTTTGAAATATTTTTCCCACATGATGTATGTTAACTTTACTGTCTTAATTACCTGATTATGACATGGTTCTGCAAAGGCCTAAGCCCTAAGCAGCCCCATGTAGTAAGCCTGTCACAAATTAAATGAAAATAAAATCAAAAGGATTGCAACATATCTTTCTAATCAGAGAAGCTAGTCTCCCCTCCCTCCCCTTTTTTTCTAAATGGGTAGAAGAAATCTTAATTTGACAGAACGATTGCATCCTAAAGAGGGTTGAGTATCTCTGATAGTGAAAAACACCCAAAGTTCCAGGTGGGAGGTTTTTTTTAACTTTCTTGAATGCTATTGTCCAGAACTCCCTCTAGGAGGTTGGCTATTTGCTTTTTTGTTTTCTTATGTCCTTCTCTGTATTTTGAATTGGTTCTTAGCTGATCCTCCATCATTTCCACACCAGAGAAAACTGTTAACGTGGTGAATTCATGAGAATTTACATTTGAAAAGATGGATTAGAATTGTATCACTACTATGTCATTTTCAGATCTTGTGGTTTACATGGAGCAACATTCTGTTATTTCCCTGAGTGCCCAAAAAATTTAACCTCTCTGTTCCTCTAAAATAGTCCAAGGAATGGTGTCATATCCTGCTGTGTTGATCAGTCCTTGTATGGCTCAGTTCCCATCACTGCTTGCTCAAGGTGCTCCTGAGAGAGAACTTCTCAGTCACTTGTTTTTTACTAAGCCAAAGCAGTAACCAAAATCAACAATAAACCTTACTTGTGACACAAAGCACACATGGGCAGACAAGTTATAATAAACATCAAGTGTTGCTTCCAGAATGCTTAAAATTTAAAAAGTCAAAAAGCAACCCCAAAGAAAAAGTACAAACCCAGACTTGTCCAGCACTGTTCTGTCTGATTAATGTGGTGTATACCCTAAAAGCAGCACATAGGGATGCAGTGATTTACATAATGAAAGCTTTATGAAAAGATATTTCAAACTTACCCTGTTTTTAACATACAGTGTATTTTGGGGGGATGGCAGGACATCCTCCCACCTAGGGGGAAACTTTGGCTTTCAGTGGTTGTTTAATGAAGCCAGACATTTAGTTTATCAGTTGTGTTATCAGTTGGCATTTGTAGATCACCTTGCCTCTCAAATGACTTTTTCTAATCCTGAAATTAAGCTTTTTTGATAAGAACAGATTGCACTGTGTGTTTGACATTGCAAAACAGAGACTGGCTGTAGTGAATAGAAAACTATGTCAAGCTTAAGTTTGATAAGGTACTTAGAATGATAAATTTGTTTCCACATCTATATTCCTGTATTCAGAGTAGAAAGTGCTCATCTTCATGATGAGGAGTACAGCAGAAACAAACAGATACTGTTTTCTTCTTTCTGAGAAGTGTTTGCGGTGAGTCATTTTGTCTCTTGATAGAATTACACCATTATGGTGTAATTTGCTTTGTAGCATACAGCCAAAAGATATTTCATGAACTTTAAACTGAAATTATTTAGCGAACTGGTTGTAGCCATATCTTAAACCACTATGGTTTTCATGTCATGTTTTGCTATTTAACTTTAGGTAAGGATTTTTTGGCTGTTGCTATCTGAAACACCCTCATCAGATGAAAATTAATTTTTCTTGTTCTCACTTTTACTATAAATGCATCTTGAGGAGGAAGGGCTTCTTCCAGTTCCAGTATTAGAGAGGTTTTTCTAAAGGTTGTGGGTATGCCAAGAAACTTTAAACAAAATCAAGAACAGGTAAGAATCATCATTGTGCTCCACGATGCACATAAGATGTGGTCAGGAGCCTGCCTTTGATTTGCTGATGCATGAATCTGACAATTACCAGTTGAATATTAGATGTTTTCTGGAGCTCCACAGGGGAATTCAACAGCCCAGTTTCCAGTGAGATTGACAGCATTTTTGTTTAACATCTCCATTTAAAAATGTATAATATTGTTCTGACACTGGCTCTCCCAGCAATAAGGAGTGGTGGTGCTTTTATGGTCACCTGTAAGGTGTGTACACCTTCCTAGAATGTTATGAAAACCAGGCCCCAAATGCTGCTTGAAAATCATGTACTAGGGCAAAAAATATATTGCTTTTAATAATTTCCCTGCTGTTCTTGCTGGTTAGATCTGTGGGGCATTGAGGCTTTTTATTTCTTCCTTTTAGGAGATGACCATTCCATGGTGCCTGAAGAGGGCAGAGCTCGTGTTCAAGTGTGTCAAAGGTATGGGAGTGGAGCTCCAGTGGGATCTGGGGAGCCAGGCCACAGCAGGGACACCAAGGGCATCAGAGGGATGGAGCAGCTCTGCTGGGAGGAAAGGCTGAGGGAACAATTGGTTTAGGCTGTCATGACTCAACATGGTTTTCTGTCTTTCCAAGTGGTGTTTTTACTTTCTGCGTTTTTGTGTGCTGCACTTAAATAGTTGAACCGGTCACTTTCAACCACCTGCTTGAGGAATCTCTTCCTATAGCAATTGACTTTCAGTGGTTCACAATGGATATGTCATCTACATCATCCACTTCTAGTAAACAGTTATTTTTCTGAGTGTCCTTATATGGCATAAGAGGATTCCTGTGGCCTTTGGTAGTTCATCACTTGAGCAATAAGTGAGTGCTGAGCTTTATCCCTATAGAATCATCATAGAATCATAGCATTGTGTGGGTTAGAAGGCACCTTAAAGATTCCAACCCCCTGCCACGCGTAGAGACACATTCCACTGCTTGCTCATTTACAGGGATGGAGCAGCCACAGCTTCTCTAAGCAACCCATTCCAGGGCCTCAGCACCCTCACAGGGAACAATTTCTTCCTCATATCCAATCTCAACCTGCTCTCTGTCAGTGGGAAGCCATTGCCCCTTGTCCTGTCACTCCAGGCCCTTGTCAAGAGTCTCTCTCCATTTTTCCTGTGGGTTCCCTTCAGTCACTGCAAGGCCACAATGAGGTCACTCCTGTTTCTCAGTGAAAGGGAGCCATGGAAAGAACTCCTGACACATTATTTACCTCCTGACACACTTCTGCTGTGTATCACTGTGCTGCACAGTAGGACTGATTGTTCTGCAGAATTCCTCATAAGATTTTTCTACATTTCATTCAGATTGCCCAAGTCTGATTTAAATGCAGTTGAGGACATCCCTCATTAAGGCAGTTCAAACCCTACTTGTATATGAAAACTCCCTCACTGCCTGCTCATGCTTTAACTGCTGGGGAGTACAGGTAATCCAGACAGTGTCAATGCTGTTTTTTTAGGTTTCATGATGGAAATGGCCTCGTGGGATGGAGGAATTTCTCGGACTGTACAATTCCTGGTACCACAGGTAGGTGAAACCAAAGTCATATCCAGCCTAGGACACTGCTGGTAAAAAGTCGCATGTCAGCAGATCTGGTGATGATTTTTTTGCTATTGCCTGCCCCTTTTGAGTGAGTTTAAATTAATCAATTTGGGGTTTTTTTTCTTTTCTATAAAAAAGGAGTAAGAATGGATTTATAATTTTTGAATACCCAGTGGTATTTTCTGAGAGGATGCTAAAATTTCAAACTGGGAAGTTCACCTTTACAAATGGTGAATGCCATTTTCAAAGGTGAAAACCTTTGAAAGAGAGACTTTTTTGATGTTAATTACTCTGATGGGCTAACCTTGCGTTACATAACTTGAGTTGTTTTTTAGTCATATTGTCTTTAGTCATATTGTCTAACAACATGGAAAGCTGCAGTGCACAAGTTCAGTCATGCTTCCACAAAACCATTAATTACTTCAGGCATTTGAAGTTAGTTCTAACTTAGACTCTGAAATTATTTAATTTGGAGTTCTAGCTGATCTTCAGAAACAGGAAGATATCCAAAGATGGCCAGAACAAAGTTTGTTCTGAAAAGCAGTAAAAGTAGAGTTATGTTAGGAAAGGAGTAACATGTATTTCTTGAGAAAGTTGAAAGCTGCTGAGCAAGGAGGAAGACACAAATTCCTAAGTTGAATCTAGTCCTGAAATGCAGAGAGCAGGAGTCCTGTAGATTACAAGCAGCACTGTCCTGCTTATGTGTTGCAGAAATAATCAATCCCTGGAACAAGAAATCTTCTGGAAATGGATATGTGGATATGTCACATAAATACACAGCCAGTATTTTTAGGTCAATCAAAAGTTTGACTGTATTCAGTAGAATTGTAACACACAGTTTGAAAATTATTTTTATTGTCTTCTGAACAGCAGCAATTCTCTTAAATACCAAGAAATAAAGTTCAGAGAGACTTAATTCTTCCAAACTACAAAAAGCCAAAGCTTACCTGGTGTTGGGTTTTTCTTGCAGACAATTTCTGAGGAGATGTTTTACCAGCTGAGTAACATGCTGCCACAGATCTTCAGAGTATCCTCCACACTGACTCTGACCTCCAAGCACTGATTTCTGTGGGGCACTAACCTGTATTCTGTTGGCAGAGGATGAGATTAAGGAGATTCTGGACTACAATGTCTCTTTCCTGTGGACTGATGACCCCAAAGTGGCATTTGTTTCAATTTCAAGAATTGTGTTGTAATAAAAGATAAATGTTGTCTGTACTTGGCTGGTAGCAGCTGATTTTTGCCTCTTGCTCTGTTTCAGCACAGGATTGATAATCAATTCCTCACCTTTATCTGAAAGACATTCAATATAACTTGTATGAAATCGACAGAAATATGTATGGTTAATTCTCATACATTGGTAGTAGCAATAAGAGCTTATGCTAGGAATGGGGTCTTCTGGCTTCTACAAACATTTCCTGAATTTTCTCAGTGGCTTTTAAAATAATATGGAACACATCAGGTGTTTCCTTAGAATAAACAATGGAATTTGTCATAGTGACCATAGAATAAAATGTATTAGTGCCTCGTTTTACTGCTGCAAAATGAAAGACTTGAATCAAACATTTACCCTGTTGCATTTTGTAGATTGTGGAAGTGTTTTTTTAAAAAATTCTAAATAAGATACACTGGTGACAATAATTAGAAATTTTAAATAAGTATTTCTTTTTTTTTTTTTTAATTATGTTTGGGTTTTGCTTTTTTTTCAGACTTCACATTGACAAACTTATCATATGAACAACTTCACAGGAAAACTTGAACACTGAAAATGTTGAACTAGTGTTCAACTAAAAGGTGAACACTAAAATGATCTGGACCCTGTTATACAGATAAAATTTGCTGCTTATTAATTATTAACATTTTATGACTAATCAGAAATGCCAGGGAGACAGCTCAAGATGCAGCTATGAAATTTTTTTGAGACAATCTTGAATCCAGTCCAAAAAAACCCAACCAAACCACCTCTGCATCCCAGTGATGGGGGATAAAGGGGACACTGGGAACTGCTTTTCCCCCATCATGGACAATCTTGGAATTCAGCTGTGGACCCAGGAGCTGGAAGCAGCCCTTCCATGGCCACAGGGAAAGTCCTGTCTGGAACTGGGAATCTTGGGATTGCCAGAATCACTGGGCTCACATCAAAGCAGCTGTGGGGGTGAGGGCTCCAGTGATGGGATTTCCAAACCCACAGTTCTGCTGTGTGGGAATCTTGGGGATCCTGGCAGACCTGGCTTTGAATCAGAAACCTCTTCCTATGTACTACTGAAATTCTGCACTGGAAACTGGAGAGCCTGGAAGCCAGTTAAAACTCAAATTATTTTTTGTCTTCATAGTGATTTTTTAAAATGTTATTTAGCTTAATAAATGCAAAGATTGAAAAGCTCTGTTTTGGAGAAGCTCCATAATTTAAAATTCTCATGGAGAACCAAAGGAATATTCACCATTTAATGATGATTATAAAGTCACAGTGTAATTAACAGACTCAGCTTAGTATTTTTATCAAGTCTTGTATGCTGCAGGAAGCCATGTAAGTGACCCAGTAAACATCTCTTGCTGAACTGTCAAATACTTTCTTTTCCTCTGCCAGCAGCTTCTAAAGAAGAATCATGTAAGTAACGTGACCTAATTTGGTGTTCTAGAAAAGAAGGATGTAAATTCCTCTAGAAGGAGCTGGATTAATCCTGTTACTCAGCTCATTTTACATTGCTGGCCTTAAACTGAAATCAAACTCTGGTCCCAGAAAAGCAAGTGCTCTAACATTATTCTTAATAATGGGAAAGGTGTGGTGGCAGAACTAATCCTTGTTAGAAGTTATAATGTTTATCTGTGTGAAAAAGATCTGTGTTACCTACTTACATTAGTTTTATACTTTCCTTCAGTCAGTAAATCTACCAACAAGGAGCATCAACAATTCTTGAGCAAATATCTTGCTTATACTTCTTGATTCTTTGGTAATAAAAAATATGCCTGGTATTTTTGATAAAGCATGAAGACTATTTAGTTGCACTTGGATGAAAGTGCCACTAGTTTCTAGGAAAGTAACTCAGCTTTTGCCTTTTATTTTTGAAATGTTTATTTTCAGTCCTCAGCAGATTGCACCTAAAGTTGTCATCAGAAGAACCAGCTGGTCTTTGATACTGAAATGAACAAACAAGCTCTAGTGATGAGGGTTTGGAAAATCAAAGTGGAAGGAATGTTATGGGAAAACTATTAATTCTGCTTGCTGAAGTGTGACCCTTGTGAATGCTGAATAAGCCTGCCAAAGGGGATTTTTGTCTGGAGGATCCATGACAGAGCATTTAATATTCCCATTTTTCATACCTGTTCTCAAGGAAGTGGTGCTAACAGCAGATTTTTAGCTGTCTTTAGAGAAAAGCAGAATACAGAGATGGGCTGACCTAAACTGTACTTTCTGTTTGGTCTGTGCCTGGCAGCTGTAGAATACAGGGTGTGGTTTATGGTGTAAAGCCACCTTAGAAATTCTGTTTCAGTCATGAAAAGCTATTCAAGATTAAGAGGAAAATGACTTAATGGGCATGAGGTTTTCTATTTGTATATGCAGTGCAGATTCCTTGGAAGGGTGACAGTATTTAATGCCTTGAAAATGTCATGTAAAATTACATGTGTGGCTTGAATCAAATTAAAAAAAAATCATGCCATGGGGAAAGGTGAGGAGCAAATACCATTGTTTAGCTTTTTTAACTGGCTCATGGTGACCACTGTAAACTGCAGGTGCCCTTTACAGAGTCTGAACTGAGGTTATTGCAAGGGGAAAAAAAAAGCCAAGAGTCTGTATTTGTCAAGGATATATCTTAGTGCCCTTCGCCTCTTGTCACTGGTTCTGCAACCTGTGCCTGTTTTCTTCTGTGGGAACTGGTGACAAAGAGGAGGAGAAGAATGCAGACAATTAAACACAGGTACAGACCTTGGCCGGGCCAGGTGCCTCTACCCTGCTGCAATGTCTGAAATGTCACTGTTAGAAGATGGCACTGCCCAATCAGGTGGCAGTCATACCCGAGGTCCTTTCTTCCGCAATAGTTCACTCTGGACAGCAAAGTCTTAGTGATGAAAGAGTTATTTTATAACTTCTTGTTGTATGAGAGGTGAATGAAGCCACAGAAGGTGGTTATGGAGAGGGCATATAATGTAAGGGAGGAAATTACCTTACATTATGGAATGCTTTGGGTTGGAAGGGGCTTTAAAGAACATGCAGTTCTATCTGAGACGATTGAGATTGCATGTTCTAACCCAGTTCTGGTATTTCTGTGAGCTTAAAAGTTGATCAGATTATTGCATCCGTACCTCATTTTCCCCCCATTAGAGGAAAGTTTAATTTATGCTTGTGTAGTATTTTGAGCGTAAGTCTTTCATGCCTCATTTACTGTTATTTTTTGCCAGTGCTATACCCAAAAATACAGAGCTATTCCCTGGTATTCACACCAGGTCAGCTGTGTAAAGAGATGCCTGTCCTCTTCTTGTATCCTCATGGAGCTCTCAGGACAGACCATCAGTGCCGCATAAAAATAAATTTATTACTTCATACTATATACTGGATGGGGCAGAAGTCAGTAGCAACCACAGGACTGTTGTCCTATGGGACCACAGAATTAGAAGACTATGTTATTATTATGTATAAGGACAAACAGTTTTATTTCTGGTTGCATAAGTTGAAGGGCTTGATTTTATGATATAATAGGATTTAAACACTAAGGTGTAATCATACCCCAACATCTAGAAGCAAGTTCTTTTGAAGATTATTCCTTGGAGGTTAGGCCAGATTCTGCGTAAAGAATGGTGGTTCATAGTTCTTTATTTCCTTTCCCACTTCTGTCAGAATAACCTACAAAGGGAGAAAAACAACATTCACCCTTCATAATAAAGGCTCCAAAAGAGAAAAGCCATGGAAATGAGTCAACTTAGGATGTGAAGTCAGTGTTGCAAGCTCTGCCAAGTGCAGCCCAGAAAGATGAGAGAGCTTGAGCAAGCAAAACTTCCTCTGGGCACACACTTTTCACATGACATGTTTTTTCAGTTGGGAAATGGACTGTGGACTTCAGTTTGTGATGCTCAGCTCTGGTCTCATTGGCCTTTTTCTCTGCTTTCAGGACAGACATAGAGCAGTATTTTCAACCAGCCCTGTGAAGGGCTGAGAAAAGGTGGAGAAATGTTCTCTGCTGGAGTAATTATCAATACCCATAGGAAAAAAAAGTCACTGAACAAAACAAGGTTATTGTGTTATGTTTGTAACACACACAGAAATACGAAGTATCTAGTATCAAATATTCTGTGTAACATAGAAAAACCTCTTAAAATCAGTGTTAAATCATGCAAGCATTCTGCATGGACCTGCACACAATGATATCTCACTTCTCAGAGGAGCCATGGTAAGTACTGACAATTTTCTGATGGCTGTTGCAGTTCACAGCTTCTTCTAAATCTTCTTTCTAGTCACTGAGAATGCAGCAAAAAATACTAGGATAGAAAAGGCACCAATCTTGTGCAGTCTGTGGCCCACAGGATGTGATGTTAGTTTTGACTGTCATCCTGGTTTTTTATTTTGGCATTCACCTGCTCTGTGTGTTGCTCTTGTGAATTCAATGTCTATTAAGTTTTCTGAGTTACTCCAAAATTACAGAGATGTAACTGAGAGCAGAATTTGGCCTTGTGTGCCCTTCCAAGGGTGCTAAGTTTGAAGAGATACACACAGGGCAGCACTGGCTAAATAGCAACTGAAGGGGAATATGAAAACCATCTGTAAATATTTAAAGGATGCAAAGACTAAAGAGGAGGCGGGTTTGGACTGCATGTTCCATTAAGAGTTTCCATTTAACTAACAGGGATAAAACTAACAAAGGAAAATAGGGAAGATTTAGAGAAACTTAGAAATCAGTCTCAGAGTGTACAAATATTTCTCTGAGAATGGAGTGATAAGCCACTGTGTCATTTTCAAGATAACAACAGAATACAGCTATGCCTTTGTGGTATAAAGCACTCTTAAGCTGCCTGGGAGATGGCACAAGAGGGCTTCATGTCTGCCTTTCTGTTTGGTCAGCAGAAATGGATTGATTTCTCCCTCCCTCTGTTCCATCTTTGGGAAGCATGTGGGTGACAGATGTACTTCATCCACAATTGGCTTAATAAGTTTATTGATTTTATATCTGCAGAAAGGAGGATCTCACGGGGAAAAACTCTACATCCCTTCAAGAGATACCTTCCATGAAAGACAAAGCCTTGGGGGAAGAAATCCCTAAATTAATTGAAGTTTAGATGAAGGGTAAAGAGAATCATACGCTCCAAGGCACTTTCAGCTCTTTCCTAATGGGCATTGGCTCACTCTTAGCAGTGGCAAATATCATCAGAGCATCTTTAAGATCTACTGGTTTCAACAGGAGTTCAGGGACCTTGGCCCCAGGCAGGAACAGATCCTGTACATAACAATTTAGGAGTATCTTGAACTGGGGAGTTACCAGAGTTGAAGCTGGTTTGGTTGTCTCCCAAAAGTCTTATTTTAAGCTCCTTAAACTGAACCATAACAGCTCCTGCCTGGCATAAATTATAATCCTCAAAAATGCTCTGTACTCTCTCATGCAAGTCATTTATAGTGACTGTTTCAACTCTGTTCCAAAGAGCAGTTTTAAACCCCAGCAGAAATAGCCTGACCCCACAAACAGGGGCTGCTTCCTTCCGCCACTCCTCGTGTGTGCAGCACCCAAGTTATCAGAGTGCTCCATGCCTATTCCCATAGCGGAAATCCTACCAGCACAGGCCAGCCAAGCCTCCCTTTTTGAGAAATGAATCTCTCTCCCCGCTCACCAATCAAAGATGGAAATTGCAGCAGGTCATTGGCAGGAGCTTGGCCCCAAGCTTGACCAGCTACACAAGAGGATGTGAGTGCTTCTGTTGAGTAGTTGTTTGGAAACCACTGCCTGACCACCAGTTGTTATCTTGGATGTGTTTTTAGCCATTTTGGGCACATGTTCCTGCCCATTGGAAGTGGTTCTTTCTTTCAAACAGTCCATAAATTATAAGTAAGTCATGCAAACTGATGTTGCTACATGCAAAATGGCACACACCACATTTTTATCTTACTTTTGCTTACAGTGGGAAACGTTTTGCTGCAAGAGGACAATATTTTCTAGTCTTTCTTCTCCAAATGATTATCTTATGGCAGGTAGGTATTTATGGATGAGGAACAATCAGCCCCTTTGCCTGGGTGTGAGACCCAGCAGGTCAGTCAGCACCTCCTGATGGCCAAGAAGTGGTGTCCCCCAGGGGTCCATAATGGGACCAAGTCATTTTTGATGTCTTCATCAATGATATGGACAGTGGGATCAATTTCACACAGCAAGTTTGCAGATGACACCAAACTGAGGGTGCAGTGACACACCTCAAGGACAGGATGCCATCCAGAGGGACCTGGACAAGCTTGAGATGTGGCCTAGCTCTGGGGGCCCAGCACAGGAAGGACATGGAGCTTCTGAAGCCAGTGCAGAGGAGGGACACCAAGGTGATTGGAGGTTGCCCAGAGATGCACAGGTTGCCCACAGAGGGGCATCTCTGCCCCCCATGCCCCATCTCTGGAAACACTCAAGGTCAGGCTGGGCAGGGCTCTGAGCAACCTGATCTGTTGAAGTTCTCCCTGCTTATTGCACGGGGGTTGGGCTATGTGGCCTTTAAAGGTCACTTCCAGCCCAAATGATTTCATGATTCCATGAAAAAGGCATCAAGAATTTGGAAGGGCAGGCTCTGTACAATACATGGTGGAGCCATTCTTTTTTGTATTTTCTTCTTTTTACTCGTGATGCTGTCACAAGTAGCTCTTTAGAGAAGCATTGTGCCCACTAATAGCTGGCCTGCTGGATCAGCTACTTCTGCCTAATCCATCTTAATTTTTATAGTGGTGTCATACACAGCCAGACCTGCCAGACACTCAGAGAAACAAAGGATGGAAAACATAAAGCAGTCGAGGAGAGGTAAGGATGGGCCAAGCTGGAGTGGTGTAAGAGCCTTTAACTTCCTGTTTTTGTCAAGAAGACTTTAATATAAAGTACAGCAACCCAGGACATATTAATGTGCACTCCTGTGGCCAGTCCTTAAACTGGCTTCTCGAAGTGTAGATTGTGTCATGAGTACCATTAATTTTCAGTACATTATTTCCATGAGAGGTTATTACACATTAAATTACAACATTCCCATGCATCCAGGCTTCTTGTAACAGTAGGAGAAATGGTGGGCTGGAGAAGACAGCTGGGTTTGCACGTGGTCTATGTCAGTTTACTTAAGCAGAACCATTTTACTGCTGCTGGAGGAATGCATCAAAAGGTCAGTGCTGAAACTCCACTAAAGTAAGCTGAGCACACATTCCATCTGCCAACATATGCTCACTCCTTGCTTGATCAAAAAGGAAATTTCAGAGCTCCGCTGCATGCTTGCCTTGACCCTGCTCCACACCGCCTGTCCAGTGGGCATCAGACAAACCAATCTAATCCTGCGTGGAATACGCATTCTGCTGAAAGGATGCTTGGAATAGCTGCCCAGCAGCAGCAGCAGCAGCAGCAGCAGCAGCAGCAGCAGCAGCAGCAGCAGTGTAATCCTAAACTGGGCCCGTGCACAGGGAGAAGTGCAGGACAGCATGGAGAGGGGTGTCAGGAAAAGTGTTATATGAATGCATGAAATGTATGGGTTTATTTCCTAGTCCTGTGCACCCATCACAACCAGACCCTGTCCAAATGAGACTCATCTTTACAGGGGAAAAATAAACTTGACATTGTCATTCAGCTCTTGCACTTACTTTGCCTGTCTTCTTCAAATGTTTCATCTTCTGGAGTCTGCCTGATCTGGTCAGTGTCAGAGGAGGAATTCTGTACTAACAACATGCACAAGGAGCTGCAGCAACTTAATTGGGCTATTAAAAATTGCAGAAGTGAAGCTCTTGTAGCTAGAAGAGCTTTTGGCTGATTTAGAACATGCCCTCATAACATCACTTGATAAAAATAAGACTTGGGCTTTTTAATAGAACAAATTACTTAGCCTTTATATTTAACCACAGTCACTGTTAAAGCTATAACTGGTTTTCAGAATATTTTAGGAATCTGATCTTGGTCTTCCATATGTTAAAAACCATCACAATAAATACCTTACACTGCGGTTCCTGACAAAGAAATAATAACGTGGCTGCAGTCTTCAACTCAAAAAGTTTGCTTTGGACTCAGATTTGCTACTGTTCAGAGTGACTACTGGAAATTATCATTTCAAGGCAAAAAAGGAGACAGCCTTAAACCAGAGAAACTCGCAAACCTGCATGATTTTTGTAGAGAGGGTACTGATGTTCTAGCTACTCGCATCCAGCTCTTCAACAGATCCCAGACTCTGGTGGGAAAAGTGGCACTGGTATTGAGGTCTCCTTGATGCACTGAAATGAGAGGATACTTTTCCACAGAGAGATGGGCTCCTTTCTGAAAAAAGGACTGGCAGTCCTTAAAAATAATATGGAATCATTGTAATCAACCAAATTAGAACTGCATTTATTCATCTCACATTGTTTTTGGGCTGTGCTTTGGGGGAAGGTTCAAGTCCATTTAAGTGTATTGTATAGTCATAGATTGTGAGGAAAACATCTAAAATCACACACAGAAAAACATGAGTGTAAAAAGATGAGGCTATAAGAATGAGATCTTTGCTGGCAGAAACCAAATCCTTTTTTAAAAATATTGTATTTTACTATGTATGATGACCACATAGAACCAAATCACAATCAACAATAATTTAGAGAGTGGAAACAACATCCTGCATGAATGCAGCAGGCATTTGAAGAAGAATCCATCACTACCCCCAAATTAG